TGGTGAGCTCCCAATAGAACATCCCCATTGTCTCAGTGTGTGGGTGCACCCCTCGCGGTCCTGAGTTCCTTGCTCATGCTCTCTCTCCTTCTGCTCTTGATTTGGACCTTGAGATTTCTGTCCAGTGCTCTAATGTGGGTCTCTGTCTCTGTCTCCTTTCATCGCCTGATGAAGGTTAATATTCAGGAGGATGCCTATATGTTTTTCTTTGGGTTCACCTTCTTATTTAGCTTCTCTAGGCCCGCGAATTATAGGCTCAATGTCCTTTATTTATGGCTAGAAACCAAATATGAGTGTGTTCTTGCAGTATACTAGGCTTTGTGGGAATGAGAATTTTGTCATTTAGTGATCATCATCCATCAAATATCCACATATTTGTGTCCCTTAAAACGTATTTTTAAAAATCTAAGTTTGAAGCCCATAAAATTCATTTTTCTTTCAAAATATACTACAACTCCTTGTAAAGAGTTATCGATATTTCATGCATGGTCTCAGTTCTCACCCTCCGTATTTGCTATATCTTTGCTGATTTTAATCACACCTCCAAGAACTGATTACTCTGAAAACATCTGTCAATTTGGGCTTTTTAAGCTGCTTTGTATGATGGATGGATAAAAAGAAAAGAAAATGAGAAGACATGCATGTCAGAAACAGTACCCTTACAACCAGTCTGAAGGAATAGTTCCTGGGAGGCCATGCTTGGAAGCCAGGCTATGATTTGCTAACCTTCTTTGAAACCCTTCAGTCAACCACATGCTTTTGTATTTGTGCATAGATCTGTTTATAGAAACTATTCAGTTAGTCATGTTGTCTTAGCAAGTGTTCCCAGATACTGCTTATGGCTGCCCTTGTGGTAGCCTTCAAGAATCAGTTGGATGTTGTCCTAGGGATCAAAACAGATGATGAAGGACAACACTGTGTGGATAAAAAGCAAGCCACACAGCTGTAGAATGAACATGAGTACCGAGAGTAGCTGAGTGGTCTTTCTGTACCACAAATTCATGTGGGTGCTTTCAGTTTGCCAACTGCAAACAAAGAAAATGACTGGAGGGACTCTGAATGAATGGCTGAAGAGAAGGCAGTTTCTCCACAACAATTTCTTTAACTACATAATATAAAAATTGCTTAATGGAGATTACAAGGCCATCAAGAACTATCTTATATTCTTTCTAGGGGAAAACATAGTAATTAACTGTTGCAGAATGATGGATTTTTACCAACACAGCTGTCACAACTGCTATTTTAAATCATTTGTTATGGTTTAAAATGTATAATCCCCAAGAAATTGATCATTACTGCAATTCAGTGCTGCCTTTTCAGTGCCTGGACGATTTTGAAGCTTGCATCAGACATTCAGCTAACAGAAGGCAGTCATACAGTGGACAACTAATGGCTGATTTCATCAGCATTGTCTTCTCTCCCCCTCTCAGCGAGATTTTACTTTCCTGCTGACATTTCAGATATGACTAAAGCAGGTGTGCTCTGATGTTCTGTTTTCATTTTTTTTGCTGTATGCTCAATCCCCTTTATTAATATTTTTGTGTTTGGCGGGTTTCCCCAGTCATCATTGCCTGATAGTATTTGTTTATGAAGCTCTATCCACATGAGACCACGATTTAATCCCTAATCTTTTCAAATGCTGCGCCATATTCATGTTCCCATTGACATCTGTGCCACTTCCATGACGGTTTCCCAACTATTCCAATGGAAATCAGCAAATAACTGGAACAGACGCTCATCTTCACCTAAGCAGCCCCAAAGATGAAGGGAAGAAGTATGAAATAAAGAGCAAGAAAAGCTTAATTGAAAGGGTCAGTGCCAACAGAAAGGACATTTGGGCTTGGAGAGATGGTTGACGTCTTGGTTAGTTAGGACCTGGTAAGGCTGTGTGTTAGGTGATGTGGACACCGCTAAGTCTTATATTTCTTCTGTAGTTGTAAGTTCAGTTAGATTTACTTTTGGAATGTTAGTGTTCAAATGAGCCTTCCTTTATTATTTTCAAGACACTTGCACAAATTGTAACTATTCTTTAGTGTAGTAATTTGACTTCCCAAGGGAATTGGAGGAGTGTGACTACCAAGTAGTAGTACAAGTCTTCCTTTAACCTGCAACATTGTGTTCATGACCTCCCCTTACCTTTTGTGCATATCAAGGTTTAGTCTCCAATTAAAGAAACACTACCTATACATTAAATCTACATATTATACATTTATGTAAGTATACATTATATCTACAAGTTTGTGACTACTGTCTTCAATTTAGGGGTATGTAGCATTTTTTGTTAGTAAGATATATTCAGAATGCTGATATTAACATTCAAGACCAACAGCACAATAATGAACTCTGCTTTTCCCAGAGGAAGCAAACTAAATAATGCTGTTTATTCGACTAACCTAAATTAATTAAGAACACAAATCTTTGCCAAGTTGAAATTAGAACATTGAGGGGTATATGTTCTCTCCTGAGTTACTTCAAATAGATATGTAAAAACAATACATGTTTAGTTCTGAAGACATTATAATTTGCTAGTACAGCTATTTGGGGCCTTATTTATGTCTTTTTTTTTTAAAAAAAAAAACTAGTAGCCTGTATTCATTGTCTTGAACCCTTTAAGAGATTCTATTAAGGATTCAAGAATTTATATGAGTAACTTTTTTTGAGTTTTCTTTTCCCTAACTATCATAAGCATACACATCTTAAAAATTGTGACTCCAGACAGCTTATCTTTCTATTATCTTTGAGTGTTTTATATTTTAAAGATTATTATTCTGGTCCAACTAATGGATTCTGTATATTGTTGATATTTCCATAGGGAAAGTGGATGACAAAATCCAATTTATAGTTGTGGATTTTCAATACTCATAAGAACCAATGACAATTCTTAATATTTTAGACAAAACCTGTCTGATTTCTTAGCATTTTCTGCATACATTTACAGAAAAATTTACGTGCATAAAACACAAATTGTACCTGGAAAAGGAAAGGCCACATTAAACCCCCACATTCCATATCATTTGTACATAATGTAGCTCTTATCAGAAAACAGCTTCCACATAATCAGCAAACCACAAGATGGCACTACTGAACAATGAGTTTATTTCAGAGAGGTGCCTTCTAGATTCTCTAAATAGCTGGTCAGGAATAACCTTATCCTTCCCAATTAATGTCAGTCACTTCAACTGAAATACAGCATGACACAGAGAATAGTGACTTGATAGTTGAGAAACTTCATAGGTCTTAGGGTAAGTGATCAAGGACAAAACATCATAATTGTTACGTTGTAATACACTTTACCCTAATATATGTGATATAAAAGGACTTCTTGCCCAAGTGTGCAACCTCAGAATAATTACAAGAAAGCATCAGACAAACCAAAGCTGAGATACATTATACAATGTGGTTGACCAAGAAAATCACAAATAAACTGTAATATAGTTTAAAGTAATATCATACCAACATTAATTTACTGTTTTCACTTATTATACCATGGTAACATAATAAACTAACATTATAGAAAACTGAAAAAGAATTCATAGGAACTCTGCAATATTTTTTAAACTAATCTCTGAATTTGAAATTATTTCATATTAAATGTTAAAAAATCAGTATACAAATATTACCTGAAACATTATCTTAATCGCAACACTTTATAATTATGTATTTTTAAATATGCTGGGCATCTGTGGAAGCTTGTAATGGTTGTCTTAACCTATTAAATGATGTGAAGACCTAGGGTTTAGTTTCCCTTCAGGAATAGTGAGTAAATTCTTGAAACTCGACTTTAGTACAAATTGTGTGTAATTTTGAAATGAGAGTCAATCACAGATTGAGAGGACATTAACAAACTGCTTCTTTACACCATGATTACTAGCACTTAATGACATTCAGTTACCTCACTAATATGTGTTCACAAATATGGCGGTGATGGAGTTCTAATTTTGCAAGGTGTTAAATTTTGCTGTCAATCAAAAAAGGTGATATATGATTATTATCTTTGCTAGTCTGCCAAATGCTTTATATTGTACAAAATAGTAGTATGAACAGAATAGCAGTTTGACCCCTGAATAAACTCTTAGAATCAAAAAAAAAAAAAAAAAAGGAAAGATGTAATTCACTGTGTCTACGGAGAAATGCAGGTATAACCAAACAAGGCCACAATCTGGGGTACAAGGTGAACTTGGAATTTGGGAAATTACTGTTCAACTTAGTACATAGTCCAAGAATAATTTTCTGCTAGAGAACTAGCATATAAGGCATTCCACTTAGCTTACTCATAGTAACACTGGACTGGTATTTTTCTATTACCACAGCATGAAATATTTTTTAAAAATTAGCACCCAAAATAAGCTTTAATTTAAATAATCTATATGTTTACTTTGATATTATTATAATCTATGATTTTCATTTAGCCTAAGATTACAATGTTAGACATCATTATGATGCCAGTAAGAAAAAAAGTCTTCCAGAACTTACTTCATACTATTTTGGTTCCTATGATTCAAAACATATCAAGAAGTTAAGAGGCTGTTGAATTAATTATGTGTCACTCTTACCAGTGATCACTATGGAAGAAATTGTGTGTATGAAGAAATATTCAATAGGAAGATAATCTCTGCACAGTGCCACATAAATGTGGTCAAAAGTGTAGAGTAAAATGTCTTCCTTTTGTTGCTGTCTTAATTGAAGATGTGCACTTTCCATCTGGATTCTTTGGTGGAACACAAATCGACACTATTAGTTATATTCAGGAATTTAGATGATCAGTTATGTCCACTACTTAACATAAGCACAAACATCTAAGCTACCTAATAAGCTTGCTTCATTTCCAGTGAAGTGCTTCAGATTTATATAAATGTTGATGACATAGTTATGTTTGCTATAAACACACATGCCTATTTATTAACATGCTATGACTTTAATTAATATATTTTGCTTTGTTAGTTTCTTGGTAGCTGGGTAAATAGCAAACATTTGACATTTATCACTATCCTTTCTTTCAGGGACTCCATGAAAAGACGGGTTCATTCACAGCTGTTAAAGTAATGAATGCCCGGAAGGTAATCTAACCTGTGCCCTCTCTGTATGCTGTGCACTTCATATACTGTGTGCACGGAAGAAACAACTCTAAAAGCACTGTGTTGAAGTAATGATTTTAAATGCTAGTGAGTTAAGCTGAAATAATTGTAGTTATGTAATCACAGTTAACAATGTATTACACTTACTGGTTTGTTTTATTTTCACATTAAAAATAATTCATTCATATCATAAATTCCAAGTATTTGACCTTATAAGCCACTTGAGAAAATGCCTATCTTGCCCTCTAGTTTCAGTGGTTATCTATTGTTGGGGTTAGCAACAAAAATACTTCCTTTAGTATTGTGGTAATAGTGTTCTACTGTCTTAGTTTTTCCTCAGATAATTTCTTTGAGAGTTGAGGCCATTAGATCGTCAATGACAGGTAGAAGGAAAGTTGTCAAAGATGCACGCTTTTCACATATTTTCAGACAGACAAGCAAGAGACCATTTAATTGGCACTGTTCCTGCTAATATTCATAAAATTGCCTCACAGTTCATAATCTATTGTTAAAGAATTTGCAAAGGACTGATTTCTGCCCTCTTTCTTTAGCTTGAGTAATTCACTTTGTCAAAATAATATTAACATGAACATAACAGAAGTTAAGAAACTTTCATTTTATTATACCCAAAAGGAAAAATATTTGAAAGACTTTGTAGCTTTATGGCACTGCTGTATCCTACAATGAAATGTTACTTTGAAAAGTGAAGAAAGAGTCAAGTACTTTTCTTTTGCCAGTAAATGTCAAATGTTGCAAACTGACGTGAGATTCAGGGGGTTTAGGAGCTTTGCAGATTTTTAAAGCATAGTTTCCAAATAACCCCCCATTTTTTAGTAATACTTTATAAAATGCATATTTTCTTTTTTAACTCAGGCGCTCTAGAAGCACATTAAATCTTTGTTGAAATATTTAAAACTTAAGCCTCTAGATGCTCACTATTTACCGTCTGCATTTTTAAGTGGAAATAGCACTTTAATATTATAAAAATTTCCCATTAATGTGTCATTTACATCCATTAACATGAATTTAGTGATCACTTTCCACATGTCATAAGAGACTGAATTTTGTCGTGTTGTGGTGGTGCAAGCATTTAATCCCAGCACTTGAAAGGCAGAGACAGGCAAATCTCTGTGAGTTCAAAGCCAGCCTGGTCTACAAGAGCTAGTTCCAGGACAGCCAGGACTCCAAAAAAAAAAAAAAACCCAGAGAAACACTATCTTGAAAAACAAGAGGGGGGAGTAGAGAGAGAGAGAGAGAAGGAGGGAGGGAGGGAGGGAGGGAGGGAGAGAGAGAGAGAGAGAGAGAGAGAGAGAGAGAGAGAAAGAGAGGAAAGGAGGGAGGGGGGCTGAATTTTTAAATTAGTATAATTAATGGGAAGCAAGAAAGGAGTGATGTTTTATTCCTCTACAATTTAGTGCTAAAGTAGCTAAAAATAGGTCAGCATAAATGATTGCAAAAGTGTACTAGTAGGTCTGAGAGTGTTTTCCTTGCTTTTCCCCCCAGACTCCTTTGCCTGAAATAGGAAGGCGGGTGAGAGTGAATAAATACCAAAAGTCTGTTGGCTGGAGATACAGTGTGAGTACTAAACATCTTCATTAGCACCTCCAGAGGCTCTCCTTTAATTTTAGGCTTCAGTTCATCATTCTGGCTATATTGGGTCCCTCCAAAATGCTACTGCTGGAAAGGATAACGTGTATATCTTCTACTGTTCATATAGATTCAGTCATCATAGTTGAACACTAATATCTGTCAAAGAAGAGGAGGGCCTAGAAGAAATGTTCCTTTGCATGCTAAATTATCAGCTGCAGGGCAAACTTTCAGTGTGTCTACAGAGTATAGAAGCGTATCATTAGCTAGCAACAGAGGAAGAGTTGACTGTACCGAGAATAACTTTTCTCCTAAAATTGACCTTAGCAAACTCCTTTTTACATGTTGCACATCTTCTTTAGAGTGAATCATTGTTCAGTTATACTGATCACAGACATTATTGTATATGATCCAAATTCTGCCTATCTACTCTGTATATTACAAAGTCAATATACAAAGTAAAAAGCCATCAGGATGCTCTCCTAACACTCTTCAGATATTTGTCCACAATACTTTAACACAAAAAGGAGTGTCAAACACTTTCATCTTGTAGAATTTTTGTGATGCTTCTTAAACCATGATCACTGGCTTAAGAATAAGTTCATACATACAGAAGTATAGTTTTCAAAAGACCTTAGTTTTCTATCAAAATATTATATGCACATAAAACCAAAATTATTATTCATATAAATATGAATCCTTGATTAATTTTTCTAGTTTTCTCTCTGGCAGTCAAATAAATAAGGTTCATATATTTTGGGCTTTTATGCCTTAATAAATATAGTGTCATGTACATTAAAAATAACCCCTTCTACTAATACAAACAAGCACATTTAGAATCTTTCTAGGTATATGAAAAATCCATTGCAAAATACCTTCATGATTTATCTGTTACACAACGGGCTTATTTCGTTTCTAATGTGTCAAAACAGTACAAATATATTCAGAGGAAGCAGCTGTAACTGGCTTTGGTAGATCAAAAACCCACTAAACAAACGGAATGAAAACTAAAATTATTTGACCAATTGTGTTTCCCTCAGAAGTGTATATTAATGAAAAAATTTTAAAGTCTCCAAGACCTTTCTGGTATTCTTTCCATATAAAAAAGGGATTTTGCTTGTAGCATTGGTGAATTTACAAAGGGAATTCTGGCATCCTTGAGCTGCCTTCTGACAAAAAGCAGGGGATCCAGGCCAGTCTGGGATCAACTGGCAAGGAGCCAGGAAACACTGTAGCATCATATTACTGGGAGATGTGTGAGAGTTTTAAATTACCCACTTGGCCTGATGGATATTATGTACTTGTGTGTTTCTTACAAGCTCAACTTCCCGTTAATTGAGAGTGGCAAACACACTAATGCTTTCCAAACATATCTGATCTTCATTTATTTGTTTTGGGAGAGTTTACATTTATGCGGGAAGCCCACTCTTGGAAGTTTTATTTTTTTAAGTCATGTATTTTGAATTCTGTGATTAGGTTTTAGTAAAGGAACATCATTGCTAGCTAATCAGTTAGCATCTCTAAATCAGCTTGATTATTTTAGCTAAAAAGTGTGTTAGCTGCACATACACAGATCTTCTGTGAAGACAGGGATATGTTCCTGGTTTCTACTGTATTTTCTAAGTAAAGGGAACCTTGGGATGAAAAAGTGGATAAAAAGAGATGTATTAGTAATACACTAAGTATTTGCTCTTTTCTGACGAAGTTTAACTTATCGTTTTGCGTTTTGATAGTTGTCTTTTGAAATTATGCTTCTCACCTCAATGATCTCACCTAACTAGGTGGAATTCAGGTATCAATGAATTGGTAATTCTTGAAAAGAGTACTTCAACATCCCCTGAGCACCAGAACCATATCTCAACTCTTCATAATTTTATACTGCCATCAAAGGATGTAGAAGTATTCATTTCTGTAGACAGATGTGCTTTATGTGTTGATTAAAATTACAAAAGAAAAATATGCAGTGGCTTAGATTCAAACAAATACCACATATACTATCTGTAACTATTGTGTGGATCATATGTTGCACATATGCATTGTGTATTTATCCGTTCAGTCTCTAACTAGTCTGTTGGCATGCATAATTCTGACAGAATGTGTACTACAACCTTTTAACACGAATCTGTGAAAATAATTAGTGAGACTAGATCATTACTTGTTTTATAGACATGATGTGCTACTGTTATGATTAGAAAAACTAAATTTTTTATAAGCTTACTTGACAAGATTAAAATCAATGAACCCATACCTTTAAAATGTATTAAAGGATAGTCACACATTTTGCAACTAGCTCTATAAATGTAAAAGAAAAATTCTGACTAAAAAAAATCAAACATTTAACCATGAGAGCTATAAAGTGCTTTACAAAGTATAAAATGCTTAGAAAATAACATAAAGGCAAATACTTGTGATTTATTTTGATTTGATGACGAATCTTTACATATGATACCAAAACTACTAAAACTAAAACAATAATAAGTTGAACTTTTTCAAAAGTAAAAATGTGTGTGCTCCAAAGAAAGCATGAAAGTTTAAGGCAACTCAGAGTATTGGTGAAGATACTTATAAATCCACTATCTAATAAAAAATTTGTATCTAGAATATCTAAAAAATAGCTTACATTTATATAATGAAAAGCCAACCCAACATTTAAACATGCAAAGAATTTTTTATTTCAGTATTTTGCAACACACACGCAAATAGGAAATTGATAAGATAATCTGAAACCAGTTCTCACCAGGGTATTATAACTCAAAATCACATGCTACTATAATGTCACTCTCAAAGAACAGATGTAACAACTTTGGGTGCATGTGCAACGATCATAACTTCTTGTATATGTCATGTTGGTACGGTAAAGTGATGCACTAGTTGTTGAAAATGAGTTTGGCATTTCATTATAATATTAAACATACTAGATTCACCGGAATGAAATGAAAACATTTACATTAAATTTCATGTTAATGTTCATAGAAAAATTATTCATGGTATCCAGAAGGTAGAAATAACCAATGTGCCCATCATTTGATTATAAACCAAAATAAATGAAGTACTGATATTATATGAATGGATATTTCATGTATAAAACTCAGAAATAGCGAGTCTGATGTGACTACATATTAAAAATTTTCTTTTATGTACTTTGGATAGAATGTAAATTAGTGGTTTCTCAGAACTAAGATGACTGTGGTAGAATTGGGGCCAGGCAATGAACCAAAGTTCATAGAGCTTCATTTTAGAGGAAAATTATTCTATGATTGACTGCAATGATACATACATACATGCATACACACACATGTCACTAAAACAATTAGATGTTCAATTTTAAGTGACCTAAGTCTATATTATGTGAGTTGCCTCTCAATAAAATTAGAAAAGAAATGAAACCACTCATTGGATACTTTCTCATGGTGTAGTTCTGATTTTCAAGGGACACATTTTAAGAACTTCTGAATTAAAAGATCTTTAGTTTACTCTTTCTTTTTGCTCCTAAATTGTAATTTTATCAGATATTTCCATCACTGTTCATTCTTGATATCTTATTTTCAATTACTACAGAATAAGCTTTTACTATAAGATTTTCTTTTATAAATATAATGCACTTTTGAGACAAACTGCTACCAGTTTGCTTAGCTTCAAACTTTGTTGTCTGGTTTTACTGTTTAGGATGAAGAGGAGGATCTCAGGACCGAACTCAATCTGCTGAGGAAGTACTCTTTCCACAAAAACATTGTGGCCTTCTATGGTGCCTTTTTCAAGCTGAGTCCCCCTGGCCACAGGCATCAACTTTGGGTGTGTTTTTCTTTGCCCTGGTCTTTTTCTATAAGAAAAGTCAACACAGTGAAAGAGCTGAGATGTGATACTTGCTTTCTGACTAGAAAATTTAAGCCCTCAGCTGTTCAAGATAGCGTGGCAAAACATATTCTGACTCCTTGGGACAGCATGATAAGAAATGAAAAGAATAACAAATTCCCGACTAGGAGCTTTCCAGTGGGATGGAGGAGGATACACATGCACACTGTTGATTTAAATTTCAGACTGCAAACGACAGCTTTGCTGCTTTTACTTTTTGCTGCTATCCAGGTGACTTGATGGGCTAAAAACAATAAACATATGAGGACAAATTTGATTTAGTACTTGACATGAACAAATAGCTATGTATTAGGTGCTTTGACATATGTGCACTTAGGCATAAATATTGCAAAATGGTTTGTTGATTTGCCATCATGGCTGGACTATTATAAATTCCATATCATAAAATACAAATTTCAGTAACTAACTGCAACCTAGCCTAACTAATCCCCTGGATTAGTTACTAGAATTTTTCCCATACTCTCTCCACTGTCTTAGATAATGAGTTTTAGTCAATGATAGCTTTAAAATGAGAATTTGGGACAAAACCTGGTGTAATGCCTTTTTAAAAATAATAACAAAAAGTTTTTAGGCTATTCCAGTGTCAATCAAAAGTCCTACTACATTCTACAGAATAGATTTTGGGAATTGGGGCAATTGTTGCTGGAGAAATGCTTACAGCAACACATTCCAATGAAATTCAAACTTTAGCATGAATCTTGCATCATCTGGAGAACTTTCTGTAACACCGAACGCTGGACCACCTTCACAGATTTTAAATTAAGTGGGTCTGAAAAGCCTGTGAAGTTTAGACTTTCTAGTAAGTTCACAGATGATGGTGGTGCTCCCAGATTACTACCAGAATTCTTAGAATCATCAAATTTTAAAATGTTCAAATTAACCCTCTTTTTCTCAGCTGTCCGGCAACTTGAATTTTTTATTCTCTGACAATTGTAGTGGTAATCTTATTAAATATTGTTCCACAACTCTGTGGTTACCATATTTAATATTTGTCTGTATACTGTCTTTTTCATAAAATACTACAAAATTTATCTTTCACACAATATGTAAAGTTATTAGAAATATTAACTCTTGTTATCAGATATATTCTGTTCATTCAGTCATTTTAGCCCATTAAGAAATGAAAGTAAATCCAAGGTTAACAATGTGCTGCTGTGGAGTCTTTGCATCAGGCAAACTTTTCTCTCAAATACTCCTCTTCTTCTCTCCAGTCAGCAGTCAGCCTTCTCCTCCTCACACACTTCTTTTCAAGGTCAGGGGCATTTGTTTGATATATATATATAAACTTAAATGATCTTCCTTCTAAATATCTCAAACTACAACCTACAAACATGAATTAGTTCAAACCCCAGATGCTAATGAACCATTCAAATGTGGTTCTTGGTTTATCTACTTTCACAAATTCTCCTTCCACTGTTGAAAGTTTTAACAAATACAATACGCTATGCTTTTGTGGATCATCTGCAGATGGTGATGGAGCTATGTGCAGCAGGCTCAGTCACTGATGTAGTGCGGATGACAAGAAATCAGAGTTTAAAAGAAGATTGGATTGCTTACATCTGTCGAGAAATTCTTCAGGTGAGTATATAAATAATACCTAATTATAATAATTATAATAATCCCTGATCTTAAAAGAACCTAGCTATAAAATAAACAATCACACATATACACACAAAGTTTTACATATATACATAAACATAATATATATATATATACATAATAAGACCAAGAATTTTAGATATAACCTGTGATAAGGAATTTCTTCAGAGATCCAAAAGCTCAAATCACAGCCTTGAATGGCTCTCTGCGAGTTTCATGCTACTGTGTTCATCAGATTGAGGGACTGACATTATGATTTAATTATTTTTAAGCATAGCACTATTATCATAGATTAAGATGAAGTCTAGTCATGGAAAGTCAGTGTTCTGCAGTGTGGCTTCAAGCATAAAAAATATATGCTTTTAAAAAGGCATATATTATCTTTGAAAACAGCCCCACATTTTTTTTTACATTTCACATTAAATTGGATGAAAGCAATGAGTTTTTTGGTCAGCCAACTTCAATTGGTGCTCAGTGCTTAAGTCATTAGGATCATCAAAAAATGATATTAATAAAATGAAGAGTACCCCAACACTTTGGAATGGCATTCTTCCGATTTTGTTTGAATTTATTTGTGATAACAATGCAAATCATATACCAAGTTTAGATTTTAGTTTGTCACATGTTAGTTGTATGAACTTTAATCAGTTTCTTGATTTCCCCATGTCTCATTTTCCTTTTCCATAATATAGGAGGATAGCATATTCTCCAAAGAGATTCTGGGATAAGATAGTGATGATTCCATTTAAACCAATAGCACCATGTCTGGCACAGGATAAAAGCTCAATAAAGTATTATTAATGCCCAACTAGTGTCTGGCATGATCTCACTTAAATGTAATAATGCATGCAATGTCATGGTTTAGCCAGATCTTGGGGTTCTTTCAGTGCTGAATGGGCTGGAGCCAACAGGGTAAGCCAACACAAATTGTACACACTTTAAAATGAATTTCCATATTCGCTCAAATTCTAGGTCTACAGGACTCATCAGAACACATTTTGAACTAAAGAAATATTTTGATAAAAAAAAGAAGAAAATAGTTAATAGTTAAGATGCCCATGTCCTTACTGTCATGGCTAGTCAGAAATATGGAGGCTATAAAGGAGGATAAAGTTTCCCAATCTATATAAATATTACTTTTTAGTGTTCTTTTTCTTTCATGAGTATTCTGATTTATTTTCCTTTCCTTATAGCCAAAAGCAGTATTTCTGGGAACTGGTTGTAGTCATTCCAACCTAAAGAAAGAATTTTGTTTGAAAAACCAAATGTGGACCATTTTTCTTAACAAAAGATTTTTTTACCCAAAAAACTTAAAAGCAATCCTACAAAACTGAAAAAAATAATATGTATCTATATATTTACTCGACTTTTAAAATGTGTATGTATGTACAGGGCTTAGCTCACCTTCATGCACACCGAGTAATTCACCGGGACATCAAAGGCCAAAATGTGCTGCTGACTCATAACGCCGAAGTCAAATTAGGTAAGTTCATCCTTGCAAGGGTTAGGTGAGGAAGGATGTGAAGAAGAATGCCTTTGATCATAGCAGTGCCAATGTAGTATTTGGGTTTGCTTGACACTTTGGCATGGAACTGACATGAAAGTAAAAGGGGCGTGCCTAATGAGTTCTTTGAAACTGCAAATAAACTAACTTTAAATATAATAGACTTGTGTTTTTTTGGTCATTTAGTACTTTATGTTAGAGATAGCTCTCGTACTTATTTCAGCGATTGAATTATGGCAAGTATTAACCATTTCAAAATATTCCTGCCCATATTTAAAGACTATGAAATAGCTTTCAATTGCTTAGACATAAATTTCTTATTTGTATTTATTCTTTGAAATTATATTGATCAGAAGTGATGTTGTAGCAATAAAGAAACCAAATTCTGCATTTCCCATTTTCTTGCTAAATAAACAGAACCAGAGTAGAGATTTTGGTCATTAAGAATATTTATTGAATATTTGTGGAACAAATGAGAAACCAATTGTGTGTTATTGAAATAATAGTAGTTTTGAGACAATGCACGATGCCTTATATGCATAAGCTACAAAACTAGCAACATAAACTGCACAGATCATATTATCTCTTAAGCAAAGTACATGAATATGACAGCTATAGAAGCGGCACCAAGAAAGATACTGTAAAATGATAATAATCTCCATAATCTGTACCTTGTATCACTAGGAAAATACAAATTATTTCATTGTTGATGTTTGTTTTTTGTTGTTGTTGCTGCTGTTGTTTTGAGACAGAGCCTCTCTGTGTAGCTCTGACTGTCCTGGAGCTCACTCTTGGCTAGGTTAGCCTTGAACTCAAAGATACTCCTGCCTCAGTCTTCTGAGTGCTGGGATTAAAAGTGTGCACCACCACACCCAGCTTCGTTGTTGAGTTTTCCATTTTCCATTTTATCATAATTTTCTCTTTGCCTTTTTAAATCTTGTATTTACCATTATTTCTTCTAGATTTTCCACACTTGCTTTCCCTTCATATACGGGGTATATCGGTTTATGTCCTTCATAGGTCTTTCTTGGCCTTTAAGTTGGCTATTGGAGAGTGGGAATGTTGAGCTATTGTGTAAAGAAATACTTTTTTAAACTTTAGATAATGAGACCAATGGTCCTCAAAAATATTTGGAATAGTCCTTCCTCTTGTTAGATGCTCTCTGAAAGACTGCCTTAAAATATTAACTTCATTTCATTTTTCTTTGATTCTACTAAATTATTCAAGCTGCTTTTCAGTTATTTTGTTCACCATATTCCAGATTCCCAGAAACTATTATAAATTTGAAAATCTACTTCATATTTCATCCCTGTCTTATTGTTTTTGGAATTAGTAACCCAAGTCTACTTCAGCTCTTTTCTGTCTGTTTCTCAGGATACCATACTAAATATTTTCTTACACTGTATCCCACAGATGAATGAGAAACTGGACTTTATAGCACAAAACTAAGATATAGATAGTCTGGATAGTGTTTGTACCTGATTCAAAAGATCTGGATACTTACTTAGCTTCTATCAGGAAGCTCATTTTTCCTTATCAGTGGGTTGGAGTTTCCGATATCATGCATGAGACTTCCTAACTGTTACCAGCACATACATTACTAAGATGTGGCTCCTAGTGCTATTCATCCTCTAGCTTGGTGGCGGATCCATATGCCACATGCCACATTTAGTAATCAGTGGAACTTTATTTTTAATATTCATGATAAACATTTATCCAAACCTACATTAAATTTATAACAGCACTGTTGGGTCTCATTCCAACATAAATAGCAGCTAAAACTCATTTCCCAGTATTCCTGGAGAAGATTTCATGGTAAAGTTTTCTGGGCCAGAAAGAAAATTTGTTATCCATTGTGGCTTTTGTATTGCCTTTCCAAGTTAAAGCAATAACTTACTGAGATTTGTGTTCCTGATTAATTATTTTGACATATGTAGTGGATTTTGGCGTGAGTGCCCAAGTGAGCAGAACAAATGGAAGAAGAAACAGCTTCATTGGTACACCATACTGGATGGCCCCTGAGGTGATTGATTGTGATGAGGACCCAAGACGCTCCTATGATTACAGAGTGAGTACACTACTTCAGACAGGGAGAATTCAAATTTGAAAAAAAAAATGTTGACTACATTTATCTTATTTGTGAAGATTGATTTTTAAATGTGGATGTATGTGTCTGTATGAGTGTATATACACATTTGTGTGCAAGTGTCCATGGAGGACAGATAACAGCATGGAATACCCTGTAGCTGGAGTTACAATTGGTTGTTAGCCACGTGATCTTGAGTGCCAGGTGACTGAGTGCTGGGGTCTGAATCCTGCTCTTTGTGATTAAGCAACAAGTGCTCTTAACTACTGAACCATCTCTCTAGATCCAACTATGTCTATTTTAATGAGAAAAGAATACAAAGTAGTTCTTCCTTTAATCCTCTAATCAGGAATCGTAGTCTCTGTTTCCTATATGTGGTTTCATAGTATGCATAAGAATAATATTGTCTAATAATGAAGGCAAAGTCGAACATTGGCACTTTTTCAGATTCAGGAGGGAATATCTAGCTCAAGTTGTTGGCAACTTCTTTATAAAAATATATTAGATGGCTTCATTTGGAGATTCAATTTCCAAGAGCAGAGGAATTTCTAAACTCAATAAAATGAAGCCAGGACTGGGGCCTCAAGACTGTAATCTCAACTACTTGGGCGGCAAAGGCAGGAATATTAGGCCTGCTTGAGCTACAAAATAAGTTTACGTTTAGCTTTGTTTCAAAATTAAGACTGACGAGTAGAGTTGATGATGCTGGCCAGTAGGTCTAACATTCATAAGGCCCTATGCCTAATCACCAGCTTCACACATATAGAATAAGTATAAGACAAATAATTAATTCTTATAAGTAAAAGTTAAAAATAATAATTTAATTGCTTACTATACTGGAGAAAATCTTTGGCATTCGGCTCATCTCCAAAACCACAGAAAATCAGTGGAATAGAAAATTTAACAATTTGTGGTAAATATTAAAATTTAAACTAAAATTTCAATTTGAAATGCACATATAAATATATGTATACAAATATATATTCCAAAAATTCAGTATGGAAAGGCACAAAGCTCCCCAGTTGCTAAAAACTAGAAAACCTCACTCACTTACCACATCATAAATCTACAAACAATTTACTGTGATCTTTCTCTGTAGTACTTCGGACTCAATACGTGAAATCAGTCAATTTACATTTTATCTCTTTGCCATTTCCTCCAATGTCCTTTGCTTGTTCTGTAAAGTAATTATTTACTGAGAGCCTATTGCATTTTCCGCACTACAGTGAGAGCTATGAAGACTACGGAAACAAAGTTTTTTTTTAACCCATTTACTGCAAGACATGGTAACTTATATCTGTCTAAATTTTACAGTCTTTCAAGTACTTTAACTTGTTTTTATTATTTAATCTGAAAATAATTGAAAGAAACCTTAAGTCTCTTAAAAAGCAAAGTTAAGGCATCTATAAACTGAGGCTCCAAAACTAGAGTATACTATTTTAAGAGTCAACCAGTATGGTGCCTTTTATTCTTTCCTAGATACACATTTTATTTAAGTATGATATCTATGCTCATGCACCTGCATGCTGTGTGCATGTAAAAGCACATGGGTGGAGCTCAAAGGAAAACTTGTAGAAGTCAATTCTTTCCTTTCAACATATGGATTCTGATGAGTGAACTCAGGTCGGCAGGTTTGGAAGCTAATGTCTTTACCCACTGAACCATCTCACCAGCCCCCTTTTTATACTTTGACAAACCAAATACAGCTGATAATGGTGAAGATAATTTATAAGTGCTTCATAATGTTTTGTAGGTTCAGTTGGTTTTATCTCAGGAGCTAATGAAATATGTATTCAATAATTTATATAAGATATATTAGAAAATATAGTTTATATGTAAAATAATTTGTGTGTTAATGTTTAACTCATAAATTATTAAATATAGCTATGTTTATTAAATATATGTACATATACTCATATACATATACATATGCATGCATAAGAATCCTATGAAGTGGGTACTATTAAAAAACATCCCTGCCTAAATGTTTTGGAGATTCTTAATAGTAATTTCCCATTTTAATAGTAGATTTCTTGCTATCATTTTTAGAGTGATGTGTGGTCTGTGGGAATCACTGCTATTGAAATGGCTGAAGGAGCTCCTCGTAAGTACAAATGTTTGATATAGTTAATCTATTTTAAAAATTGTGGAAGTGTATTGTACAAACCTGTATCTCTAAAAAATGATGCTAACACTTGGAACAGTAAGCTTTGATTGGCTATACATGTGACATCATGTACCAAACCATAAATGGTTGTTTTCAATAATGACCAAACACCATGGTTAAAAATCACCATATGTAAATATATGATATATTTCTTATAATTTTATGTTTCTTATGTCTTATCTTTTAATATCTACTTCTCTGTACATCTCTTCAAATTCAGAATGTGATAGTTGGCATTAGTTTTATTTTGAGATTTCTAAGTAGTGAAAAGGACTGAAGAGCAAACTCATAGGAGGGCAGAAAAGTTTTGTTATAGGGGTTGTAAATGGCAAGCTTCTTTAGAAAGATGAGTGAGGGCCAGGAGATTCTGAACTCACAAGCAGATAGACCGTTGCCTAGATAATTAATGAAAATTGCTTTAATCACAAGCAACTCTGGATAGCCTCCCTATCAAAAATTTCTCTTTCACTACTATCCTTTATTGCCTGGAGTATTTACTCTGCATGAAAACGATACTCATCAATTTAACTGAAGCAATCTTCTAGGTTATGATAATTATCATCTCAGAGGAAATAGTTTTCCAAAACCACAATTATCAGATGGTGTCTTCCAAGATTTAGGTAAGAAAATTATCATCCTTTGATCTTTTTTACATCAGGCTCTCCCAGAGAAACAGAGAAAAAAAAAAAAGGAGAAACTTAGCAGGGAGAGGGTGCTTTAACAATAGAAAACAGAACTTCTTGGAAAGCAGGAGCTTCTCTAGTTCTTCGAGTATAGGTGGGGACTTGAGCAATGTGGGGGCTTTTTTCACTGAGGCTGGAAGATTTATAGTAGCATTTAAACCCGTAACACCGTAGATCACAAGTTGAAGAGATGTGCTTCTGAGCCTCTACCTTTTTTGTGACAGTGTGGATCTTCTGCTTGTTGCAAAGCAGAATGTGGACAAAAATTCCTCCTGAGTACCAGGCCAGTTTAATTTCATCTGAGCCATATATTTCCCTATTTTTGCATTCTCCTGGATATTGTGTAAAATATTTTAATATTGTTGACCATTTTTCTATTAGCCATTTCTAATTGATTTGTTAGACCGGTAATGGAGATATTGACTTAAAGTAATGTTTTTATTAAAACAAATTTTACTTTAAGTTGTTATACATTTATTTGTATCTGCTTATCTCTTAGTCTATTTAACAGGATATGTGGATGAACACTGAGACTTTGGAATGAGCAGTAGGCTCTGCAGTTACCCTTTTCTTACTTTCTAAATTCGTCTGTTTCCCTTAACAGCTCTGTGGAACCTTCAGCCCCTGGAAGCCCTTTTCGTTATTCTACGGGAATCTGCTCCCACAGTCAAATCCAGTGGATGGTAAACATGAATTTTTTAAATATATTGATTTAGTATTTTATAACAAAGTTTTCATTAATTTGTTCATTCTTGCTTCAACATTTTTGTTGGACAACATTTCCTGTATCTTAACTTGGATGTCTAAATAGCCAGTTTTCAGCAGGATATAAATGGTTACCTAGAAATATGTAGTATCCTCTATAATAATATATGGTGAGAATATTATAGTCTTTTCATTAATAGACATTTTCATCTGCTTCTATATCAATGAGGTGAAGCAGTGGCACTCATAAGCAATATTTTTTCATGGTGCCTAGACATTCAGTGAATAATTCTGATATACAGCCCTATTGGTTGGCCCATTAAATTAAACATCCATAGACTTGAAGAACTCTTTCTGCATTGCTATAGACCAGGCAACCATGAGAATTCTATTCTATGAAGCTGGTTAATCCAGTTAAAACTCTTGCACAAGATTACTAAGAGGTTGCAATTGTTATTTCTTTGCTGGCATTTTTTTCTGAACTTAATTCTTTCCGTATATGTAAGCTTTTGGACTGTATCTCTTTTCATGTGCTATTTTACAAGCTTAGTTTGTCCTATTTATCAATACCTTGTTTTGAAATCATAGTGAAGCTTCTGTGACTAGAATTGTATATAGTACGGAAAACATTCACCTCCAGAGAATGAATGTTAAAATCATATGACCAGTCTACACTCCCTGACAACATATGCCACATTAATCTTTTAATTGCCATCTTATTACATGACCTTTACCATGTACATGCTGCCAAATTCATTGAAATTTCTATTGAGTAGAAAAGTCTGTTTACTCGACTCCTGTTTCTGAAGTTTAAATGACCTCATTGTAGAACGTATATTGTTAAGACATGGAATATTTGCTAACTGAAAGACAGATAGAAATCTAACATGCCTTTCAGAATATTTGGCCTTGAAAGTAGCACAGTAGTAGGATAGGAACAGTGCAGCAGGTGACAATGTCTTTTCTCTGTATGCTTCATTTATTTCAGGTCCCGTAAGTTCCACAATTTCATGGAAAAGTGCATGATCAAAAATTTCCTATTTCGTCCTACATCTGAAAATATGCTTCATCACCCATTCGTTGAGAATATTAAAAATGAACGGCACGTTGTGGAGTCCTTGACAAAGCATCTTACTGGGATCATTAAAAAGAGACAGAATAAAGGTAGAGATGGCAAAGTTTTGTATCATTCAGATAAGAGAGGATCTTACATTTTTTGGTTGACTTTAGTTTCATATTTGTTTAAGAATTTAGTTATTGGGACCTAGAGAGGTGGTTCAGCAGGCAAAAGGTGTTGAGGTCAGTTCCCAGAATCCATGTCAGGTTGCGTATAACCAACTTCAACTTCACCTCAAGTAGATCTGACACACCCGTGCTCTGTCTGCACCCACACTCACCTGCACTCACACACACACACACATAAAAACTTAGTCTGAAAGTGAAAAACCCAGAGCCACTTGACATTTAGGTTTTTCAATGTTGCGTGGCACTAGTTCATATGATTACCTCTTTTGTGAGCATTTATCTATGAAGTTATTAAGTTTTCCTATCATACATATTAAGTATTCATATTTACAAGGCTTAAGCCTCAAATTCAAATAGAATATTGTATTATGGCTATACTATTTTAAGTAAACTGCAAACTAAAGAAATTAAATCAACTCTTGGGAAATAAATGTGCTCATAATTACAAATTTAATGAATTAGTTGTGAAATAATTTGTATATATCATGTGAAGTTAATTTTATGTTCAAATCACAAAATATCAGATAAAATTAAAGAAGATAATTTATGTACCCAAAGGTAATCTTGTACCTATTGATGCCAAAAGGTGACATGATTTTAGTGAGTGTAGAAGAAAATACTCAGAAATCTCCAAATTTATATTTTCTAGAATTAGGGGCTATAGACAGTGTCCAGAGTAACTATGGAGTGGAAAACAGGGAACTTGAGAAGGGTAGAAAGCATGCTAAGATCTAATCAACAGTGGGAGTTACTGCAGTATTGCTTGTCCCATCTACAAAATTATGTGTCCTTTTTCCAGATGGGGAGCTACAGGGTTCTTTATGCTCCTCTGATACTGAAGTTATTGGGTCCAGCATCATACAGGTCAGCGGTTCTCAAACTGCTGCTGGAACATCAGCCATAATTTGATGAAATCTAGAGTTATAAGATTTCAAAGAAATGTTACTTACAGGAAAGTCCCATTTATTTGGAGATTACTCTAGAAATGTAATTAGAGCTGTCCTAAGCGATTTAACACAGGGAACTTAAAGAAAACTCTTCCATTTGTAAGATTCTACATTTTGGTAGTAACAGCGCAGCTGACAGGAATGAAGCTGAATGTGTTAAGTATAAAACAAGCAAGGCTGGCTGAGAGCCCTGCATGAAGAACTCCCCTCAGTCAAGGTGGTTACCTGACTGAAAAGCACTTCAACAACTTCAGGGGCAGCCAACGTGTCTATGCCACTATAGGCTTGGGATCATACACATACATAATTAAGCCTCTTTTGGAGCAGACTCGGAGCAGTGTTCATATATTCATGGCCCTACAGGTCAAACCTACACCAGAAAGTTGTTCTTGTTCCTCCCATCCCCTTTATTCCATTTTTCCTTTACCTCTTTAGAACTGCAGCAATCATATTGCCAAAATTGTTCCTTCTTTATGTCTAGAAAAACCAATGTCTGAAATATCTCTACTGTGTTTCAAAAGTATACTTTGAGAATTGGTACCAAGAGCCAAGTATGTTTGAAGGGCTGTCTTATTTGTTGTATTCTTTTTGGTTTGAATGCACTCTACATCGTGAGCCTTAGAATCTGGTAGGCAACTAAGTAGAGTCACACACTGGTTATGTATCATTTCCTGTTCTCTTTTGCATTTTAAGGCATACCCCTGGTCTTCGAGAGAGAAGCAGATACTAAGGAGCAGTGCACCACAGAGAGATTCAGGTGTGTTGGGAAAACTAAATATGTAATCAGATAGCAGCATGTTACCTAAGAAAATAGATTTGATGCTATTGCTTTCTGCTCAAGACAACTTAATCCTTTCTGGTATAAAACAAACAAGCAAAAACACAGCATACTTCTGCTCTATGAGCTGTTTTGTGAAAATATTGAGAATTTGTGTTACTATTCCAAAACGACTTTATACATCAATAGAATGATCATGTAGAATACCAACCTACACTAAGGATTTAATCCATTAGCTATATATATGTAATATATATATATATATATATATATATATATATATATTACCTGCAGACTATTTCAGACATTGTAAGAATTAGTCCAGAATTCTTTGTTATCTTTGGGGGGGTGTATCTTTTAAAAACTAAATCAATTCTCATGCATGACCTAGTTCTTCTGAACACTCTCTGTAAATGACAGTCATCTGCATTTTTATTTTAGAGGACCTTCTTACACTCATGAACTTCTGAAAATGCCAACTAGCAGCAGATGCAGACCACTTAGAGTCCTGCACGGAGAACCCTCTCAGCCAAGGTGGTTACCGGATCAAGAAGAGCCACAACTCCAAGCCCTTCAGCAACTGCATGGGGCAGCCGGAGGGCTCATGCCTCTACATGCTCAGGACAATCCACCCTTACAGAAGCAGGCGCAGGCACCACAGTGCCTACATGGGGCAGCTCAGGTGTTAATGCCACTACAGGCTCAGGTTAATGCTAAGATATCTACACCTCTATTCAAGCAGATTCAAGCACCTCCCCGACTAAAGAGCGCAGCCCGGGTGCTCATGCCACTGCCTACTCAGGATAAAGAACCTAGTCCTCTAGCGGTACAGGCTCCCATAACTAATGAACAGCAGGCCCAGTCTGAGCCCTTAGAAACAGGAGAGGCTAAAGATTTGGACCAGGTGCCAGAAGAATTTCAGGGGCAAGATAGGGCATCCGAACAGCAAGGGCAGGGCCAGGGTGCTGATCAACAACAGAGGCAGAATCAGGTTCCAGAAGAGCATCTGGACCAGAACAGGGCACCTGAGCAGCCAGAGGTGCGAGAACAGGCTGTCGAGCCCCCACAAGCTGAAATTGAGGATAAGGAACCTGAGGTACTCCAAGTACATGCCCAGGTGTTCCTGCCTTTATTGTCACAGAACCATCATGTGCTCTTGCCTCTTCACTTGGATACACAGCTGCTAATTCCAGTAGGGGAACAAAATGAAGAGTCACCTCCAGCACAGGCCTGGGCTCTGGAGGCCTCACAGGCTGTTGGCGCAGTTCAAGCACTGATAGAGGGACTATCAAGGGACTTGCTTCGAGCACCAAATGCTTATATCTCAAAACCACTTGGTCCACTGCAAATCTTGATGGAGAATTTGTCATCAAATGAGTTTTACACTCAACCAGAACAGACACGGAAGAAAAAGTCAAAAGTTTCTAGTCTAAAGCAAGCACTGGCAAAAAGACTGTCACCCAAGAGGTTCAGGGCAAAGTCCTTATGGAGAATTGAGGAGTTTGATCTTTCCGATTTAGAAGCCAGCAGGAGACGGCGCCAGCGTAGATGGGAGGACATCTTTAATCAGCATGAAGAGGAATTGAGACAAGTTGAAAATGTAAGAGATTTTGATACTTTTCCTGAGTGAAAACTATTAAGAAAATGTACTAGTTAATGCTTACGTATTTCCTCTGTGACGCACAATGGAATTGTGCTTCTACCAAAGATTTACTAATTTGCACTTCAAAGGAATTATTCTGAAATCTCCAGATAATTGTGATCCAAAGAGGAAAAATTGCTTTAATAATACAAGTAATGGCTTAATGTATCTCTACAGGAGTTGCATCTTCGTTATTAGCTGTTTGTTTTGCATTTACCAGTTACTCCCTTAACCAGTAAAGGGATGGCATACAAACACTTAATTATTTGACTCTTGAAACATTTCTAATTTAAAATTCCAGACTTGCCTCCTTTTTTATCCCTCTAAGATGTAACTTTCTGGGACTAGAGAGATGGCTCAGAAGATAAGAGAATGTGCAGGTTCTGCAGAGGACATAAGTTTAGTTTCCAGAATCCTACATGGCAGCCCTTGACTGTCTGTAACTTGTTTTCCATGGGCTTCTGCACATATATGGTGCAAATGAATTGAAATAGGCACATACATATAAATAAAAATAAGCAATTTTCTTTTAATCTGAAGTTGCTTATTTGTTATTTCTTGCCATAGAATGCTGGACAGTGCTACTTGTGTGAATTGCATTTGTTTGTGCTTTTGGACTTTTAAATTAAGATAAGAGCAAAAAGTCAGGGCTAGAGAGATGAATCAAAGGATAAGAGTACTTACTCATTCAGAGGACTCAGGTTCAGTTCCCAGGACCACGTGACATCTAACAATGATCAATAATTCCAGGTCTAGAGGATCTGATACCTTCTTCTGTTCTGTGCACTGTGCACACATGGTACACAGACATACATGTTGGCAAAAATACATACACAAATAAAACTCCTATATGTAGGTGGATAAAATTTGACAGGCTTTGTTAATTTTATCTGGCAATGATAATCTGATAATGAGTAGTTTGTAGGTTTGATAAGTGAATTAGGTCAGGAAAAATTAGGAGAACAGTTATTTTCTAATAATTTTTAGTATTCATTTATAAAAAAGGAATTATTATATGAAGATTAAACAGTTAACCACATCCACTTAAATAATAACTGATGTATTAATTACAAATGAATCTTGCCTGAGTGTCTAGATAAGTAATTGTTTAGTGTGTGCACACTAAATCAGTTAAACAGTTGGTAATTCCCTGGCATATTTACATGAGAAAAGACTTTAAAAAGTAAAGAAAGAATGGCTCAAAAGCAGAAATGAATGCATCACCTCCAGAATATAAAGAGATAGAAATCACAGGCAGACGGGGAGATAGGAGTCTGAAATGAAGGCATCTAACATGCTAATGACAATTCTCAATGAGCTCTCTTAACCAGTTAGAGAGAGCTAATGGAATTTGCATCAGTGAACAAGACTTGATTTGATCCTGAAAATATTAGCAGCAGAGAACATATTTACAATCATTGTTTTGGATTTATATATATATATATATATATATTTAGATATATAACATACATAGGTATGTATGTGTATGTATGTATGAGAAGCCATTTCAAGATGTAAATAAGTCAGTGAGTAATTGTTGCCATCCTATGAACCTAGGTTCCTACATAGGCATTCATATCTTTAGATGCATTTCTTAAAAACAAGCAAAAGGAAATAAAATCCTTCATACTAAAGATAAAGTCACAGTTCTTTGTAATATATGAAATTTAATTGGAATTTAAAAACATGTCTGAGTGCTTTGCTGTACTAGTAAGAAAAATGCATACATTTTCCTTGTAATTGGATGAGATAATGGCGGTTGATACATTTGATTGAACAATTTCTTAGCTCTGAGAGCTTAATTTAGGAGGAATCTTTGCAACTCAGGACTAAATGTTGAAGTTATAGCAGCTCAACAAATGTGCAAGTTAGCTTGTGATTATATGCTAATCAAGTGTTAAATCGGATTCATAATTTGGATCTCGTAGATAAGCTTCGGGAAGGCAGCAGTTCAGCTGAAATCTATGCAGATGTGTGTGCAAATGCAGCGTTAGTAGGTAATCGGTACCTTTCCTCGGCTTGAAAAGGGATCCTTAAGCAAAAGCTGTTAGAAGCTGCGCATTTAAAAAAAATTTAAATATTAGCAAATCATTCATTCTGGTAACAAATTAAGATGATTCTGTCATCCTATCACTTGCACTCTTGTGGTCATTTAAAAATTTCTATGATTTTGGTTTCAAAGGATAAAGAAGATGACTCATCAGACAATGATGAAGTGTTTCATTCAGTTCAGGCTGAAGTCCAAATAGAACCATACGCTCCAAATCCTACAGGAAATGAGGTAAATTTCTCAATATGAGTTGTTAGGATATTAATAAGTACCTAGAAAAGTGCCTCTTAAACTTAGTGTTCTCAGGATCCCTTTATAATCTTCAATATTGAGAATTCCGTAAAGCTTTTTCATTATGTCATTCACTATCTAACTTGCTGAAAAATAAAACTGAAAAGGTATAAATACATTTAACATGATAAATAAATATAAAGGAATAGTATTTATCTTTCCCAAAATATTATTATAGGGATGTCATTGTCTCATATTTTCAGATGCTTTTAATCTGTCTTGCTTAATAGAAAACATCTGTATGTTCCTATCTACTTCATAATTCAATCTGTGGCCATATGGTGTTTTGCCTGAGATATATGTATAAGAGCTGGCTTGTTACTTATAGAAGGTTGGGGGGGGATTTTGTATGAAATTTTCAGATAATTGTGTCTGTTGGAGATTTTCCTTCAGATACTTATGCATATTCTTTGGTAACACAGCCAAACTAGACAAACAGAATCTAAAGTCATATTCATAAAATTTTATACAAGTAATGATATTAAAATCCATTGCCCTGTCTTGTACTATGAATAGATATTTCACTTATGCATTATTTCTAAATTCATGTATTCACCAATTGGAAAATATTAGTTCACTGTGTATACAGATTCTCCCAAATGTTTACATTCTGTTTTTCAATAGCAAAGCAGTACTTTTGAACATCACTACCAATTGTACCATAAATGTAACTGAGTATTCATAAGCTGTCAAGTACTCGGGAACAGATACTAATTTACAATTTCTAATTATCCCTTAAAAGCTCATGTTTTTATAATTGCTGCCAAATTGCATCACTTTGATTTTTTTCTTAAGTTTGCAAACATAATTCATTTAAAATATCTAGCACATGCACAAAGTTCAAGTAAGAAGGCTTTTCAATGTTTTTAAAAATAGAACATTTTCTATCAAAATGTTAGTAGTTCACTGTGTAACATAACCGCATGCCATCCTTTACCTTGATTGTGTCTGTTCCTGGTATACTCTTTGTCACAAACAGCGGCTCAGTTAACCTATGATTCATTTTCTCATAGAAGAGAAATTAGATGATTACATGTGAGGGTGACTTCTCTTTTGATGATCACGTCAAATAATACAGAATTCATAACACACATTTGTGAGACTGGGGTTGTGAGTTTTCTTTTTAAACAGACATGGTAGCATTATCATGACTTGCATTCCTAACAGCCAACATTACAAATTCATTTTGATCACTGAAGTGTACTATGAAATTTTTCAAGACTCTTGATTGACGAGTCAAGATTACTGTTTTGTGAATACTAACTATTTACAGAAGGAAGATAAGTGAGGCTGTGTCAGTTAACGAGAACAATCACTAATGTCTCCCTTGCTGCCTTAGCACATGGCTTTGCTCCTATTCCCAGCTGGTAGTTAGTACCTTCAGCTTGACACTAAGCAAGATATGCAATGAAAAAGCAATGCTTGCTTTGGAACATATTGTGTCTTAATATATGCAATTCTTACTATTTTTTTCAGCCATATTAAGCCTTGCCTTTTCATTTTTTACCATTATATACATTTGGTGATTTTTGACATTTCTTTTAATAAGTATTGCTTAGTTTCTTGACTTGGCTGTAGTGGCATTACATATTTGTAGTCTCAGCTATAGAGAGGCAGACGCAAGAGGATCATTTGAGCTTGGAAATTTTAGGGCAGCCTATGGAACATAGGGACCTAATACCAAACAAAAATAAAAATAATCTTTGAATAAAATAGAAACTTTCTGAGATCAACTTCATAAGAGAACTAGAATTGACCAGGATAGCCAATTATCTAAATTGAAATTAGAAAACATTTTTCAGAGAGATGCTCATCATAAATACTGTAAAACATCTGGTTATATTTGGAACTGCGTGTTAGCCAAATATAAAAGACAGATTCTCACCAATCTATCTGTTGCAGTACAAGGACAACATTGAAAAGTCACTTCGTAGGACAAACTAATGTATGAAAACTAAATACTGCTTCTAGGAATTAGAGAAAAATTATTTTTTAAAGTGTAACATAATGAAATTTTCTCCCTAAATAGTATAGTGACTTTCTTATTGCTTGTTCGAATTGCCTTTGGGGGGCAGAACAGAAAATTGCTGGGAGTAAAAACAGTGATTTAAAACTAAATGAGACAAGGCAAGAGATTATGGATCTGCCTGCTATTGCTAACAGAAAACAATTCTACTCCATTGATGTAAGCTAACATTGTATGTGCTCTTTCTTGAGTATTTTACTATGTCACATGAGTGTATGGATCTAAAAACCCAAAATAATTTACTTAGTGACAAAAAGTATTTGAAACACTTCTTATGACATACTTTCTCAAAGAAACTATAATGTATTTTCTGTGTGAAATCTAGAGTTAGTTTGGATGGACATGATTTTGAACTTAAATTCTTAATTTTTTGTTCGAAAACTTAACTGGTTTTAGAATTTATCGTCAAGTACTTTCATTAAACTATTGATTGCATTGTGTCTTTAAGGCACAAGAGAGCTCTGCTTCTAGGCCTGGCAACCGGAATCGTACACATCGTGTGACATTTTCCTCAAGGTATGTATTTCTGTTTGCAAATTACTTGTGAGTAACTGTGAAATCAAAAACAAAATTTGGAAATTAATTTCCGCGTGAAGTCAAAACTAAATTGTCACTCACATCATGACAGTTTGCCAAAAATTGGCTTACATTTAAAACCTCGCTGCAGTGATCCATTAACAGCATCTTCCAGTAACAGCTTTCATAGTCTAGTCCATTTGATTCAATTCAATAATTACCTAACAATTTTGAACATAATTTATTTGATATGATTCACTTAGCAGTAGGATTTAAGAAGTGCCAGGTGTGTTTTCTTAAATGTACAATATAATAAAACAAATTATTCATAAGTGCAGAAACTAATAGAAAATAGGAATAGGAAAGCCTCAAAGTGTTCTGTGGTCAAAATCAAACATGCAAATCATTGTCAGATAAATAAGATGACATATGCATCATAGAAACCATTCATTGTAGTTTCCATCTTTGTAGTATTGCTGGTTTCAGTAATTTTACATAAGTCAGTTGTTCTGTGCTATGCATTACACATGAAAGAGAATTTTTAAAATGGACTGAACTCACAATGAATAGGCCATAGCCTATGTTCATTCAGTCAAACATTCAGCAAATATGTATTAATCATTCTTTATATTAAAACTATTAGACAGGACCGGCAAGGTAGTTTGCTGGGTAAAAGCACATTGTATCAAGCCTATTGTCCTGAGTTCAGCTCTCACAACCCACACAAAGAAGAGAACCAACTTCCACAATTTGTCCCTATGACTTCCACATAGGTGACATGACATGTTTGTAATTCTAGGTGCATGTAGACACAAGCACACACACAAACACACACACACACATACACACACTGATAAACGTATCTCATAATCAGTGTTCCAAACAATTTTTTTCTCTAAGTAAATTAATTTGGATTTTACTAAGTATATACTCACCATGTAATATAGTAAAACCTTGAAGAAAAAACAATACAAATAATATTAAAGATACTGCACAGTACAGACAGATGGCAGAGTTCATGTATGGTAAGCATAGCCATACACCATTGTTTTTTAATCTTGTGATTTTATGTTTTCACAAGAAACCTGAGGGAGAAACTTTCAAAAATTAAGTCAGATTGAGAGCTCTTTTTCTCTCCAGTCAATGCCTGAGTTACCATGCTTCTAACCTCAAAGAGAAGAAATGAGGTTAGTTTTGAAAAAATTGTTAGTGCCCTTGGATATGATTTTAATACAATTCAGTATATAAAATTTAAACTTGATGTCAACTTGAGAGTGATCAGTAACTTTACAAATAGATTTTTAATTTATTAATAACAAATGCATTTCCTCAAAGTATATTTTTTAAGTTTGTAAAATGCATAAACTATAATGAAGTCACAAACAAAAATAAATTCATAAAATTACTGTAAATGAACCTTGAGTTATTCCTGAAATGATTGGCCATACTAATGTCTTTGTCTGTTATAAACTTAAATTAACAGAAGAAATCCTTCCTAGATATAAAACTGAGAACAAATAAAAGTGTCTACACTGGCATTTAAATTTTAATGGTAAACATGGATGTGCTTATGTATCCAAAGTGTTACCTATTCAGACCAGGAACAATACACTTAAAACATGAATTATGGACAAATAAGACAGGATAACAGCGGAATATTTATAATAACAAACTATTTGTATTTGCCATGTGAAAAGTCTATTATACAATGGACGGTTTTGTTTGCTGATGTTATCTGGATAATTTTATCTGAATATTACTCTGAACATTATAGAATATATTATATGTGAAGGAAATGCATGCTATATTGAAAAGTACTTTCTTTTATTTCTATACATGGAAATTGTTTCTCTGTCATAGATAAAATAGGTTTAGGAAATTAAAATTGGAAAATAATATCCATGCTCTACTTTTTTTTCAGTGTGATGTATAATTTTTTATCAATGACATTTATTAACGTTAGATGCATATTTACAAGATTCCACAACACAGGCTCTTATGAGTTCTTTGTGCATTGCTGTAATACTCAGCTATGTAAACAATAATTATTACTGCAACATTGTCAAAGACAAAGTTAAAGGATGTAACATTTGCAGAATCATTGTTGTTAACCTAAGAAATACTAACATTATTATCATGCCTTTTATGCATCAAATCCATTTTCCAAAGAAAATTCTTTTTTGGCTTTTCGAGACATGGTTTCTCTGTAGCTTTGGGGCCTGATCTTGTGGCACATGGCTTCCTGTCTCTGTGTTAATTTAGTTTGGTTTTCTTTCACAAATGGTTTTAAGAGATGAAGGTAAACCCAATATGCTTATCATGATTATAAACATATCTTTGTTAAACCTTTTGTCTATCATTTTAGTGTCTCTGAGCAGCCTCTTTTCGAAGAAGTTCAGCAGCCCATGGACATCAGACAGAGGAGTTCCCTAAATCCTCAGAATTTCCAAGCAGCATCAGGTGATGCGAAACTCAAAGTTAGACCAGTCAAATACATAGACCAAATATATAACAGCATATAGTTAGAACTAAAGAAGAATTTCCAGAAAGAATGAATGAAAAATACTAAGGAGGCCAAGTAGTATTTAACAAAAGCAGTTGATTTGATTTGGTATTTGAGTGATTAGTGGTGACCTCTGAGAAATGGAAAGTGATAATTTCCTTTACTTCCTATACAACATGAGACCATATGTTAAAGAACTTGAGGACTATTCTCCACCTACCCAACATCTATTAGGCTGCATTTACAATATGAGCAGAATAATTGTGAGAATAAGTTTTATTTGTCATTTTATCTCACCTCTTCAAAATATCATATACACAGTATCACATAAATACCACAAACCAATGGCTTTATTTAAAATACACAAAATTAATTGATCAAATAATAGCAGGAGTGCTTATCAAAATTTGGTATCAATTTCAATCAAGTATTTTTTTAGTGATGTGCGTTTAATGGACTTTAAATTTATTATACCTTTTTAGATATTAGGAAAAATCAAAAAATTGTCATAAACTTAGGCATTAGGTCATAAATCGGCATTTTCTAGTTTTAAGCATGCAAGATATATTTAATTAGAGGACATTTTCTGACCAAGCCCTCACATTATTTATAAAAATGTAGAATACAGATCTTTGATAATGTTTATATCATAAGGGATATAGAAAATCAAACATTCAAATTTCTGAATTTTAAAACCCTTAGGAGAGTACTATGATGAAAGAATTCTTTTCATACTGCAGCCTCACATAAAAATGATGTTTTGAAAAGATAAGGCAAAATATTAGAAATGTTTTCCCTGCAATATTTTCCTTCTGGTTTGGTCACATATAAATTTGCTAATACATGGCAAACACATCAGTTTTAGAGTTCACTCACTTGCCTTTCTGAAATAAACTAATCCTTAAACATTGACAGGAGAAGGAAGAAGTACTGTCTCTGCTGAGAAGTGCTAACCCTTTCAGGGCTAAGCCTCTGTTACGTGTATGCCACCGAGCATCTTACATTGCCAGCAGATTAGGACATACGTAGATGTGCAGAGAAGTCATCAGCCGCTGAGACTGTACAGTCGCTCTCCTTCCACTTGAAAAGACTTGAAAGAATTGCTTCCTGAAAAACAATAAGTAGCAAGGGTCCAGCACAAGAAGGCAAGAATGCAGATTCTGGGATATGGTATATAACATTTTCAAAAGACAGCAGCACAGCAAATGCAGGGTTTTTAATTGTAATGTCTAGACTTAGACTATCTATAGTTAGTGTGCAGACAAAAGGTCAGTAGTATTTATACTTAATACCCCTAGAAATAAACATGGAGCCAGTATTCCAGTAGGACAACTTTTTGTAATAAATATGTTCATTTATACTCTACTGAGTTCTAGGCCTATCATGTATTCTCACTGAATTTTTATACAACTTATTATATATCATATCACAAGTTTCAAAACCTATACTGTTATACTGAAAGAATTTGTATTTTAAATAGAATTACTGTCACAATGGAATTGTGCTGTCCAATGTGTCTGTAAACAGCCACACCACTTGTGATTATTAAAATGAAAACTAAAAGAAAAATTAAGTAAACATTTACAAAGCCTATTTCTTAGGTGTACTGGCCACATTTTAAATGCTCTTAAGCTACCCTGGTGGTCCAGTGGTTAATACTCAGTACTCCCAAATGTTCATTTCCAAACAGACACAGAATATTTCCTTCACTGCAGAAAGTTGTCTCACAAATTACTCTAAAGTTTCCAAATCTATGATACAGAGCTAAGTTTTAAAATTCTTATTATCTCAATCTTCATCTTTATTGAAATATTTGGCTATTCATAACTAGGTTAAAACTTGGGAGGTTGGTAGATTTCTCAAGTGTGTGCTAAATACTGAAGACAAAAATGCCTTGTAGGTCTGCAGCATAAACAAAACCTGAGCCTACTAGTACCCTAGTGGAACTCAGGACCACAACCACAATAGGTGTTTTTAATGTAACAGAGTTTGTTTGATAAATTAAGAAGTACGACTGAGCTCAGAACCAGAAAACAGTGAAAATTACACCACTGGCAGATACTAACCAAATAACAGAAAAGTAAAATAAAGAAATTGCTTACTTCTTAGAGTGATGACGTACTTGCTGTTTTTGACATGGTATGATCTATTGACAGTCTATGATTGGCTTAAGCTTGCTTGTTTCTGTGTTTATTACTGCCACAGTAGATTTTAATATTAACTGATAATTTCAAAATAGAATGACAAAGGCTGAAAGAAAAACAATAAGGTTTTGAACTGATCCACTACACAAACCGAAACAGTTGTGAAATCACTGTTGTTATTAATGTAATTTTTGGCATTCCTTAGAGTCATCTTCTGAGGAGGAGAGTCCTGTGACTAGGAGGAAGTCCCAGTCATCGCCGCCTTATTCTACTATTGATCAGAAGTTACTGATTGATATCCATGTAGGTTTATCTCATGATGCATTTATATCTACTTTTAATATTATTTTGGTTTGTCCTATTCTTTCTGACATTGAAAGATAAAGGGTACGCATGGACAGATGGTTCAGCACTTGTTCCTGTTCCAGAAGACGAGGGTCTGCTTTTCACAATGACAATGGTGACTCATAATCATCTGCAATTCCAGCTCCATATTTAACACCTTATTCTGATCTTTGCATACGCCAGGTACACACAATGCACACAAATATGCATACAGGAAACCACTTATACCATAAAATATTTTTAAATGGATAAGTAAAAGTTTAAATGTGTTTTATTAGTCTTTATTTAAAAAGATCACATTGTTGTTGAAGTATTCCAAATAGAAAATTCTGAATTTAAAATTGAAATGGGAAAAAGCACTTATCTGATCAAACAATGTTGTATTTTCACATTTTTGTCAGGGTATGTGGAAGAGATGTGTTAAGGATTTAATCTAATGGTAGAATGCTTGCCTAGCATACTCAAGTTTCTAGGTTCAATCCCAGTACCACACAAATTACAAATAGAATATATAGGAAAAAATACTGACAGATATTTCTAGAAATTAAGTTACGATCAAGAGGTATAAGTTACATTTTAACTGTTGTTTAATATTGTTCCATACATAATGAGAGAAAATATTAATGAAAAATAGGATCTTTTGATTGTATAAGTAAAAGATCACCCTAAACTTTTGTAATTTGCTTTTAGATCATATTATTTTATGCTCACAATACCCATACTTTTTTGTAGAAATGTTTATGCCTAACATAAGAATTACATTTGTATTCATTTGCTTTTTGGAGGCATTTGAAATAATTTAAGATAATATATGGCATATATGAACAAACCTGGAAAAATAATGCATCTATTTCAAGAGCGATACTTTAATCTCAGTGTTAGAATAAAACAAAAGGAAAAAACAGACTTTGTAGAGAGCATACTATCTGGCATCAAGTGCAAATGTCTACTCCTCAGCAGGCAAGTAGGGTTAATAAAAGAGTGAGTAAATTTGCTATTTGCTGTGTGATCTACAAAGTCCACAACTAATTACTAATGTTTGGATATGGGCAACTCATCTTCACTAAAATATTTGCTCTCTGTATTGGCTGGACATCTTTATTTCAGTAAGAATATGATTTTAATATGTTTTGAAATGTTGTCATTTTGGAAACTTCCAATAGCTAAAGAAAATAAGAGGCTATTAGAGACTACCTTAACCTTTCTTGTGCACACAGGTTCCAGATGGATTTAAAGTGGGAAAAATATCACCCCCTGTGTACTTGACAAATGAATGGGTAGGCCATAATGCACTCTCTGAAATCTTCTGGGATGATTGGCTAATTCCTTCACCTGTCACTCAGCAACCTGAAGAAGATGGTGATTATGTTGAACTCTATGATGCTGGTGCTAATACTGATGGTGATGAGGAAGCTTCTTACGATGCTTATGAAGATAACTATGACCATGTCAATGGCCATGATGACTTGAATAACCAGACTGATCAGGCAAATGTCTATGAAGTCCGTGGTGATGGTGACTATGATGATGAGTCTCTTCGTGGCATAGATGATAATCTTGGTGCTGCTACTAATGGGCCAAGGTTGGTTTGTCTCTGTTATTATATTAGATGCTTATGAGTTCAGAACTATTGACATATTTGGTTTATTTTTAAATGTAAAATAACATTATGAGAGTTAATGAATTGTACTTTCATAATGGTATATGCTCAGTATTGTGATTTAAATTTTTCTAATGTAGAACATATAATTCTCAATTATGTATATACAATTTAAATTCAGTTATTTATTAGTTTCTTGATAACTGGGATTGTCTGAGTGTTTCTCTTCAAATCAATGCCATTGAATCTTCTTTTGCTTTAAAATTACAATGAGAAATGAGGTAAAAGATGAAGGATTCTACTACTGTTTGAAAGAATGGCTAAGCATTTCCCAGAGAGTAGAGATGATTTTGTCCTGTATATGATCAACTTGGTATGATATTTATTAGTTTAATTGGTGCAGAAGTTACCAAAAGATCTTTTGAATTTTTTTCCCAAATAGAAAAACTATAAAGAATTCCATTTTCATACAGATTTTAATTTATAATCTTCATAGGGACATAGGTTTAATATTGTCTCCATGTAAAATGAAGGATTGAGCATTTTTAGAACTTAACATTTATGAACCCTGATTATGTGAGTATCTTACTCTAACATATGAAGCCTATATCAGTTGAACACTCTGGTGAGAGTATTGACCAAAGGTCTATAGCAGAGCTGTTTGTATACATGTAAATAAATGAAAATATATGTTAAAAGCAACGGAATACTGAAAAATATTATAATATCACTATGGGTTTTATCATTAACATGACTGGAATTTTTACTCAGTTATTTAAGAAAAATGAGTATTTTCTGCACTAAACAGTCATGTCTACCACATGATGATGAAGACTTAAGAGTGGCTATTAATTCAGTATTTAATACTGGAAAAGCATTGAGGAAATTTTCACATGTATATAAAACAAAAGCATTAATAAAAAAGCAAAAACATTCCTGAGCATACCCTATATGGGTGTGTATATGTGTAAACTCTGATTTCTGGCTTTGATTTGTGATTTATTGAAAGGTCTTCTTTCACAAATTTGTTCTTGCTAACAGGGAAAGCTATCGCAGAGAAGGAATACTCAAGCATGGTGGTAGAGGTAGAAGTAATGGAGAGCGGGGGGCTTTCGGAGCCTATGGAAACGATGGAGCCCGAAGGTATCGTCGAAACCCTGCTGCTGAAGCCAGTGCAGCCTTTAGAAGCCAAGATGGACATGGAGCCAATAGAGGTGCCAGATACAGAGGAATCAACGGAAACAGGGAAGAGAATGGAGCATATGGATTTTGTGCAGAAGAAACTCACTCACAGGAAGATGGTGCAGGACTGGATCAACATATATTTCAGGAGTTTGAACGTGAGCAGGAGGTAATGAAGCATTTGAATGTATATCAGCACATGACATGTAACATTTCAGCTATTCACAATGATTATATTTTTGTATTCCAAATCCTGAAATAACTTAAATATATAATTAAATTATAAGTGCATGGGATCTTCACTACATACAATTTGACGGTTCTTATATACTTCAGGGAAAAATCCCTGATTTATTTGGTCATTTTAAGTTAGATCATACATTTGGAGAAGTATTTCAAGGTACTGGTCATACTATTTATAGCCGTAGAAAACATACTAAAATTTTCCAAGTAAAGCATTCATATAGTTAGCATTTTAGACATATAGAATATTGTGCAACCATTAGCATTTTGTATTTATTTGTATTTTATAGCACATAAAGTGATGAATGTCATTACAGCATTTTCACACATACTTTGTTTTTGTTGGTCCTCCTCTTCCTTCCATTCCCTTGCCCCCTCAACTGTACCTTTTCCTTCCTTTCAAGTCTATGTCACATGGATTCTGTTGATCCATTTTTCCCATTACTCTTCCTTAAAATCTTTCTCCCTTTTCTTGATAATCTCTTCTAGTTCTATACCCCCCCACCCCCCCCACACACACACATATTAAAATCTAGGATCTGTGTGTCTGTCATTAAAAAATGGAAGTATGTTTCTCTCTGAGTAGAATTATATCCCTTACTATAATAATTTCCATACCCATCCATTATTTTGAAATTTTCATGATTTTATTTTTCTTTGTGGCTGAATAAAATTCCATTGTATATATGTACACATCACATTTTGTTTTACAGTCTATCTGTTAGACATCTAGGCTAGTAGATTTAATCGTCACAAATAATTAACTCCTAATTCTCCACCCGACATTCAATATTCAATAACCCCAACAGGGAGTTGAAAATTCTTCCACATACTGAATATAGAATTGTCATGCTTGGAGGCTTTTATCCTTGAGTGTCTACTTCATTAATGGAAGTGTGAAATATGTTTACTTAAGGATTGTTATACGTCTTTTTGTTGTTTTGTTTTCTGTCTTTTGTTTGGTCATTTGAACCACACCCCCCAAGGTTCTTCTTAGCCATTTTTTGTTCTGTTCTGTTCCTTTTTTTTGTTTTGTATTATTTTATTTTATTTTTGTTTGTTTACATGTCTGTGTTTTACAATTTTAGGACCAGGTTCTAGCTCTGTAGGCTCGTGCTAGCCTAGAACTTGTTATGTAGCCTAGGCTGGCCTAAGACTCATGACAACAGTTTTGCATGTGCCAGGAATATATGTATGTACCACCAGAACTGGCACTGTAGTTATCGTAAACTAAGGGATGAGATGCCCCCAGGGTGTGCTTTTTTTCAAAGTAGTTTTATTGGTGTATGCATGTAGGGTTTAGATATTCCTTTCAAACCTTAGATCCCCTGTTTATCAGCTCCCCAATCCTATATCTTCTTATAGGAGTCAGATGGTGGAACTGAGACCTCAGATTCAATTGCCTTGGATATCACATCCCTTGCACTTGATGGTGAGAATCCCAGTGACACAGCAGGGTCATCAGCAACACTGGGTTTCCCTGTCATCCACTCATCTCCCGGAGGGTCTGCTTCTGCCTCTGATACCGACACTGCGAGCGCCAACTGTGAGTATTTCTGGTGCAATCTTTCCATGCTGCATGCTTCCACTTGCTCATCCAGTAGTTCGTGGTGTGTGATAAATCAAAGACGTTGAATATTCATATGGTATAACATGAGGTTGATGAATGCTGGCAAGATGAGTCGGAAGGTAAAAATATTTGCTACCAAGCCTAATGAGTTAAGTTTGATCCTAGACCCATTTGGTAGAAGGAGAGAACCAACCACAACATATGTGCCTAAATAAGTAAATAATATATAAGTTTTTCTTTTTAATTACTCTTCAGTAAAATCTTTTCTTTTTCCTTAGATTTTTGGGAGTCTCATGTAACCGGGATGACATTGAGTTCATTCTTTAGCTGCTGCTGGCACTGACTTCCTCATCTTCCTGGGATCCCAGACACTTGCTATTACACCCAGCTCTCACTGACTCTTTATGATGATTAGATTTGACCTGCAATTGAAAAATTGAGTCCCTCATTCAGTTATTGCTTTTACACTATAATCAAAGCCACAAATCACATCCATACTCGGCAATTTATTTTAACCAGTATGATTTGTATTTTCTAATGAGCTAAAAATTTACTAAATCTTACATAGAAGATGAAATACAATAAGGAAACCAAACTTTGAGGGTCATCTCCATTATGAAAGTACTTGGCACATTTAGTATATAGATCAGTGATTTGTCTCAATGCCTTTCCCTTTGCAGTACATGCTGGGTTTGTTGAGGTGCCTGAAAACCCCCCTCACCTACCATCTGAAGTAAATATTAACCCACTCTGTATCTTCCCAGCATATAACAAACCACTAATCCATGTGTACGAAAAGGAGTTTACGTCTGAGATCTGCTGTGGTTCTTTGTGGGGTGAGTTTGAGTTCTTGAAACTGAGTTTTGTTTTTGTTTTGTTTTAAATCCATGTTCAATGTCAAAAACTTGGGAAAGTTGTAGAAGTAAAACATTTTACCATTGTCAATCAATTAAAATGAATTCATAGTAATTGGTTCAGGACTGATTTGGCCTGTTGCATTAATGTCTTGCCCCATTTTATGCTTTTTAACTTGAGTTCACTAGGGTAAAATACAAAATTAGACTTCTATGATTATTTGAAAATTTGAGTTTAATATTTTCTAAGTTTGTATATACTTATTACAAGAAAGGTTTCTTTAGGATCTTGCAATTTTTAAGTGTAGAGGATGTATAAGTTTTCTCTATAAATGTTAAATTTGACAGATTTTTCAACTCTTTGTTTCAGAATATTAATGATCATAGCAGCAGATCTGAGATTATATATATATATTGTCCCAATCAAGTCTACACAGTACAGTATTATAAAATAACTTAATGCAACCAGGGTCCAAAGTAAACACCCACTTCTAACTTAACACTTAATAGATTTTAACCCATGTATGATTGAAGATGAGTTTTAAAGAAAACTACAGGGGACAGAGTCCTTAGAAGAAAATGGTCATCCTCAATGATTTTCTAATTTAGTGGCTCAGATAATAATGCATGATGTAATGTAGTTGATGTCTAAGAACCAAAATTAACTGTGTATGTATAGATATATGTATACACTAAATTTGCTTAAAGATAATATTCAGAAGGTCTAATTGATTCTGGAAATGTATGCGACAAATAATAAAATAGTGCTATGTATATATAATATTCTGTATGTCCAATGGCACACTAGATAGCAGGCAATAGAGAGCTATCTACTCATTTTAATGAAACATACTCTGCGAGGAGTGTACATACCTGAATAGTATGATGTTAACAAGGCTAATATTAGCCTGAAATGATAAAACTCTTGTTTGCTTGGATTAGCAAACTGCAATAGAAAAGAAAAGTAATTGTACATACATATTTACTTAAATCTATAGGTAAAGGTTAAGAGGTGTGGAATACACACATACATAGTAGAGTATTATTCAGTTGTGAAAAAGATTCGAACCATGTTTGTAGAAAAGTAGGTTATAACTGGATATTGAAATAAGCCACATGTATAAAGACACACATCATATTTGGCCTTATTTGTAAAATGTTCTTTTATTTTTCTTAAGGTCCTAAAAGTTGAATGGAGACAGGGAAATGGAATAGGATGCAGAGGGAGTGAGAAGGAAATATGAGGGTGATGTGGGTGATTTTGATTAAATTATGTAATAGATAAGCATAAAAACATCATAGTGAAAACCCTTTCTGTAGAATTAATACACACTAGTAAAAATAATCAGCTAATACAGCACTTTTCTGTGTCTGAACAGGAGTCAATTTGTTGCTGGGCACCCGATCTAATCTGTACCTGATGGACAGAAGTGGAAAGGCAGACATCATTAAACTTATAAAGCGCAGACCATTCCGCCAGATCCAAGTCGTGGAGTCACTCAATTTGCTGATTACCATCTCTGGTTTGTTTAAGTCCTCAAATTAACCGAGTAATTATGCAGAGTAATTGAACTGCAAACTAGGTTAAAGGCTTTCTTAGGTGAAAGTGCTCATAGGAAATCACTTTAAATATAACCTTTAATTGGGACAGCAGAATCTCCTACTTGTGTTTTCTTATCCATTCACACTTTAAACAAAATCCCTTTGATGTTGATGCACTTAACCTTTGTTGGAGATCAAGAAAACTATGTTTGCATCCGTGAGTAATCTCACGTACAAGGGACTACACTAATAGCCACCATGTAGCTTTTGATGTGTCCAAAACACAAATGGATGAGTTATTGGGTAGAAGAAAGAATAGTCCCTGTCTCCACGTAATATTACAAGGGCAACCAGACAAGATTACACCTTTCCCAAACAGCAGTTGATTTTCATAATCTTTTATAATTTTCATAATCAGAGCCTGACTCTGAAAAAGCAAGTAAGCCGGTGTTAAATTAATTGTGACTACTAAATGAATTAAAAAAAATAAAAGGACAAGACTGCTCCTAGGTATGGTCGAGGAGGTTTACTGTAGATGGAAGGGAGAACATAGCCAGAGGCATCTGGGAGAGTCCAGAGAGGACATGACAGACTGAACAAGAATATGAGAGAGAGGGGAGGGAAAAGAGGGGATCCTGGAGTGGCAGCCAAGAGTTCAAAAGGCAAAAGAATAAAAGGACTGGTGTAGCCAAAATGGCTGGGATATACATGGAAGAGAGTGTATAATATAAGAGAACATATATATGGGAAAAAGACAGCCCAGCCCCTGAGCTGGAAACTTTAGGGTTGGGGACAGGATATGCCAACCAGCAGGTTCCTGTAACCCATAGGGACTGTGGGATGCTGGAAGAACCTGGCAGCCAGTGTCTGCTTTGATATGTTAATAAGTACCTTAGTTAAGCCGCTTGTCTTGGGTTTGAGAGCTAACAGTAAACAGGAATTAGTATCAGAAAATCAAAAGACAACTAATGAATCAATGGAAATGGTTAACATAAGATTCAGCCACCAAATAAAACCATACCAACCACTGATATTTATATGAATTTTTGTACTTTATAACATAAAAGATATATGTGGAATATATATTAGCAAATTTTCATGTGATTGGATTTGATTCATTTTGCTTCAAGGTTTGATTAAAGGCAAAACCCTTTAGAGATAAACTCAGCTATCATAATATTTTAATCATATTTCATGACCAATCATTTGCAATAATTTCAGGTACACAGAAGCAACATTTAGTTTTGAAAACATCTGCATAGCTTAGAGATTATGCACATCTGGATAAGAGATTTTTTTTTTCATCTGATTTTTTTCAAACCCAGACATACCTCTTTAGATTCCTTAAACTTAACCCAAATGTAATTGGGTTTACCCAAATGTTTGTTACTAGGTTTTAAAACTAAGGCCTTGTGCATGGTAAGCAAGCATCCCTCAGCCTACAAATTATTTTGTGTCAAATACTATAAAAAAAATTATCGTCAGATGAGGATCCCCAAAAGTCTACCCTGAAAGAAGTTACAAGGATGCAATGTGAAGTTATCAGTAGTTTATTCTACCAATTGAGTATAAAATATCCACAAGTGTGATTTTCTGAACCCTAACACTTATTTAAAATTCCCCTCTAAAAACACAGTAAAATTAATCACTTTAAAATTTTGCTGATAGGTTGAGCATAGAGGCACACACTTTTAATCTCAGCACTCAGGAGATAGAGGAAAGTGAATCTCCAAGTGTGAAGTCAGCCTGTTCTCAAAGAGTCTTATTATTGGGACTTTTATAACAATATTAAAAATGACTAAAAAGCCAGGCAGTGGTGGCACATGCCTTTAATTCCAGCACTTGGGAGGCAGAGGCAAGTAGATTTCTGTGAGTCTGAGGCAAGCTTGTTCTACAGAGTGAGTTCCAGAACAGCCGGGGCTGTGAGAGAGAGAGAGAGAGAGAGAGAGAGAGAGAGAGAGAGAGAGAGAGACAGGCAGAATAAATAAGACTACAAAAAAGAAT